TTAAAGAAAACTTAGGTCCCCAATTCTTACAATCACAGTCCTGGACTTCTTAAAATACAGATTCTTCTTATTTAAAAATGAAAACCTCTGCCTAGTTTAAGCAAAGATATTGGGAGAAGGTTCTCTGTTACACAGAACTGAATTAAATGACTGAAATATATAAATCTATTATTTATTTTCAAAAATATTAAATGCACGAAAGCTTTCAGAAAAATGTAATAAAATAGTGAAGATTATGGGCCTCCTTATCTTGCTCCTGGTCTGGATAAGATCACATACTATTTTCCTGTTGTCTTCTACTACATATATAAACATATTTCAATAATATTTACTGAAAAATAGAGTCTAGGTATCTCAGACCTTATATATAATAAACCCTTGCCTCTGCTAAACCAAGTTTATTATAAACCTAGCATTCAGATGACTCTTAGTTTAATACTACCTGTGAAAAAGATTACAACTGTACAGTTCAGATAATCATATAGTTAAATTTTTTTCTTAAAAAATAAGCTAAAAGCTGTCTTTCTGAAACTTCCATTCTCTATATCTGATTCTCTTATCCATTCTATATACAGAAAATATTCAACAATTTGAATTTCCCTAAATTAACTCCTTTGATACTTAAATATCCAAATTCCCCTAATTATTCCTCTCATGATATGATGTAGGATATTTCATTTCTGCACCTTATATGTTTTAATAAATTAATATATTTAATAAACATCATCTAAAATGTGAAAGTCACAGAATTCAGTTTGTCAGAAGTATTGCTGAATGATGCTTTTAACACATAAGCACCTTCTTTGTGAGGGCACCATGAGATGTTAGTTGTGACAGTAATGCAATCTTTAAATCCCACTAGATCCCTTCATAAAAACAGACATAGGAACTATATGACAAAATTAAAAAATGTATGCAACAGTGGTATGTGACAAGGTAGCCTCAGAAAATTCAAAATGTAAAATAAACACAGAAAAACCACTGGCACCTGTAGGACCACTGTGGTGTTAACAATTATGCAAGAGGAAGCAGATGGGGGTCATGAGGCATTTGATGGATAGAAACAAAATGAAAAGTTAGATACTCTCTGAAAAGCTTGGAGAGCCCATTTAAGAACAGAAGCTAAATTCTGTGGGGTTTGTGTGTGACTACAGGCACGTCATCTGTGGTAAGATCTGAAGGGGCTGCAGTGTTCTGGGATAAGAACCCCGAAAACAAACCAGCCGAAGCTCCCCTCTAGGTCAAAGCCCACACAGAGGAGACGCACCTTGGGATGGATCCAAATGGAGAGACACAGGGTCACAGTGAAGGGGAGAAAAAACACTCACCTTCAATAGGAGGTAGGAAGCAGAGCCAGAGGTCTCTGAAGAGAGATGCCGTATCTTTGGGCACCGCACAAAGGCAACAAAAGAAGCAGCTTTAAATCCTGAAGTAAGACCAATTTCTTCCTCAAGTTGAAGAAAAAACCCAACTAATCTCACGAGGAGGGCAACAGAGAAGGATCGCCATCTAATCCCCGACTGAGTTGTTACAAAGGAGAAAGGGAATAAGGAGCATGATGATGTCGCCACAGACAAGAAGAGCAGGCCAGAAAGTGAAGCCTACAACGGGTAGAACAAAAATACATAACATTTCAGAATAAATGAAAAGGTAGCAAGAAAATTATCCTGGGCTTATGAGAGGAGCATAAAGTAGAATCAGACCCACTTAGAAACACAGTGAAGGAACTCAGAAGAAGAACCAGGATTTTAAAACCTACTTTCGATACAAAGGCGACCCTAGGAAGAGCATTGTCACAAACTGACACAACAGAAAGTGCTCCAAGAGAAATATATTCGAATAAAAATTTCATTGAAAGGAAAATCATTAGACAAAAGGCTAATGTCACTACAATAAATACCATTCAACAAAGTATTTATATATCTCCAGCCTAACAACAAAACAACCCTGCAACAAATCTTGAATTTTATTAAATATGTTGTTGATAGGAGTATGTACATAGCAATTCTGAAGCTATTTTGTAGGATTATGCTAGTGAGTAAAATTTGTAAAAAATGTCAGTAACCAAAATTCCCACGGTTGATACTGTAGATATGGTAGACGGGAAACACAATGTTCAATGAAAGCAGTGAGAGACCTTCTGTGTTGGATTGGCATAGAGGTATCAATACAAAACCATGATGGGAAAAGGACTTCACTCCTGCTTGCTAAAATAGCCTAGGAACATTGACAGCACAGGAGCAAGGAATACATCTAGTTTACCGATCAGTTTCCAAATCGCTATGCCTTACTGAAAGGAATAGAGCTCTTTGGAAAATACCATTCCAGAGCTGTTGCTGGAAAAGTATAAGGTGCACAGATTTCAGCAGATGTTAAAGAACTTGACACTGACACATTTCACATACACAGCTTCCTCTTTTCATAACTGACCATAAATGCCCAACACAAAATAGTTGCCTGGCATTGGATTCATATCCTAACTTCTCCACCAAGTTTAAGTTCTTAACGTTTCATCTATAAAATATAAAATACAGAAAAAAACTCAGAAGTTCTGTTGTATTAAATGATAGGGTGGATTAAAGGACCTAAAATGGCGCTTTACGAACATTCAGTACATGTTTGTCTCTCATTTCCTTTTCCACGTTTTCACCTTTTCTACAACCCATTGACCCAATCAACAATTCTTCCTATGACTTCAATATGGCTGCCTTCATGGAGGTTTAGGAAGCTGGCAATCTGGTTACAGAATCTCGCTCTAAGAATAAAAGTGTCCTTCCCTTATACCCTGTCACTCATATTAGAAATACTCCCACTCTAAAAGATAATCGCATTAACCAAACTAATTTTCTAATTTAGGTTATATATGATATTTCAAGGAGTTTAGATGAAAAGTTTCAAGCAAAGTGCCATTTGGTTGTGGGTGGACATTTCTCGTGGCTGGACATGGACATACAGGAAGACTAATCCCTTGGGCCTCGGCTGTGGGAATCACAGGCGCCTCTCAGGGAAGCCCTTCACGTTCCCAGTCTTGCTTCCACTTCCCACAGATGACTCCAGAAATGACGTGCTGATCCCACAACACACACTCTCTCCATTTACTGACATATTCATCACTTCAGCAAACATGTTTTGAACACTTCAAATGTGTCGCACCCTGTGATGTGCTAGAGATACAGCGGGAAAATGGACATGCAGGCTCTGTCCCTTCCAGACTTGTGGTGCATCCAGAGACAGAGACACTTGGAGAAGACAGAGTCATGAGAGATACAGAGACAACTGCAGTGCAGGACGGATGTGTGTGTGATCACAGAAGGATATGCTGCCTCTACCCAAGTATCTGTCCTAGGCAAGTGGGAATCGCTGGAGCACATTAAGTTGGTGAACACAATGATTAGATTTATGTTTTTGAAAGATTACTCTGTGCATGCCGTGGAAAATGTAATAGAACAGGAGCAAGAACGCCAAGGAAGTTTTCCCATGGAGTCAAATAACACAGAGAGCACTCGATAGAACAACAATAATAATAATGATATTTTAAAAGGAACAGCTAATAAGAATGTAATATCCACCTTTGCTAGGTGCTATGTGCATTACAGTCATAATCTCAATTCCCACAAGCAAACAGAAGTAAGTACTGCTATTAGCCCCTGCTCTTTACAATTTTACAGATAAGGGAATTCAGGCTCAGAGTAGTTAAGTAATGCGCCTAATGGAACAAAGCTTTAAAGCTTTTCTTTCTTCAAAGAGAGAAAAAGTTGAAATCATTTTGTCTTAAACCACTGTGATATATTACGACTCTGACATCTCTATCATAAAATTCATTCAAACCCCATTCAAACCTGCTGAGTTGCCAGACTGTTCCCATGAATAAGTATTTTATCTAACATTACATGAGTATCAGAAAGAACTTTGTTTTTAAGAGAGAAGAACTTAATTGCAGTGGCATAAAGACAAGTCTAAACAAACTTCAATAAGCCTTTAATTAGAAACTTAGTTTATGTAAAGTGCATACTAAATTTAAAAATAAAACATAAAGCAGAAATAGCATTTTAAGTAAATATGCACTTTGTTAGCAACGGCCTGATTCCTTTCCACATCCTTTATCCAGATGATCTGACTTTTCCCCTTTGATGAGCTCATGCTCTCCCACACATTAACCTCGATCTGAAAAGGACACGGAGCGACCCCTCAGAAGCTGCAGGCACGGTGCTATGGGAGCTTTCGCGAACTGTCCCTCCCTCTTGTCTGTCCCTATCAGGAATCGTGCCACCTGTGATGCAGCACCCACAGGCCAATGACACAATGTGGAATCGCATTTCGGTGAAACTTCCTAATCTGACTTTTTCAGGAAATGTCCATTGTCCTATTCTAGATTGATTGGGATGTTTTGTATATTTCAGGTCCAAATTTCATTTCTATCTTCTGAGCTTTACCATTTAGAACTGAGAATAAGCTCTCTGAAATGTCTCATCCTTTTTTCATGTTTGATATTTCATTTGACTAATGCAAGTAAATTGATGGTGGAGTGTCCCGCCTTCCCTCCCCAAGTACAATGTTGAGAGATTGCAGCAAGGAATGTTTCCTTTATTTGCAAAGGTCACCTACTGCGAGGAAAGGCAAGGAACAAGGAGCGAGGAAAAGACAACTAACTAAAGGGTCATATGGACAGAGGTGGTGGTAGATGTCTCTGCAAGACTGTCTTCACACTAAACAGAATATAAAATCTGCATGTATGTCTTTCATGGTTTACATTTTGACTGCATCTCATTATAAAGTTCATGGCTTGTATTTGTATTTACATGGTCAATTCAAAAGAAAAAAATTGAATTATGCAAACATTATACATTACTACAGAGTCTGTGGCATTTTTTTAAAAACTAGATCAAATAATCCACATTCTTTTGAAGAATACAAAATTGCAAATTATTGGAGAGTTGACTTTATCACATATTTTCTTATCCTCTTATTTTAGTATTCAGATGTTTAATCCAAAAACATACCTCATTTTTTTTCTAACTAAGAAACCACGTATCCATCTTTGAACAATCAAAACTGGTGAATTATGAGCCAGAATTTCATTGATTCTTGAAATAACATGTTTAATATTCTTAATTTCATCCTCATAGGTTGCTCCCTGTATAAAAAATTCAATAATTTTTATCTTTTATGAAAATATTAAATTTGGTAATCTTAAATAGATCTTAAACTTGGTAATCTATTATATGAATTAATTAATAAAATGTTCACAGGGTCTTATAGACATTGTACTTAAATAGTACATACATTTTCATATTAACTTATTAGAATAAAAGAGCAAGAATTCATAGCATCAAATAATTTCAATTCTCTACCCAAAATGTCAGAATCTTGATGATAGTTTTTTCCATTCAAGATCCTTCTCCTGACTTGATAGCATATGTATAAAATTTTGAAGAAAATCACCCTGGTCTCTGAAAGGTAGTGGCATGAACGGGTGTCCAGTGAAATTATAAAAGTGCTCTGCGGATCCCCATAAAGAAAATAGATATACGGTGGATTTATAAAATAGTTTATAGTTGTTCAAAATTGTGTCGTAGCTTAACTAGAATGCTGGATACTTTTATTGAAACATGGCAAATTCTCTTGGAAAGGATAGTCTGTTTTGTCTTTAAGAAAAATTTCCTTTCCTGGGCTGTTTGTAGACTTGGTATCGTATATTCACCATACATCACTGACCACTTGACTTGCTAGAAATAAGGCCACTTTACTCATGCCTTGAATGTAGAATAATATATCAAAAAGCTGACATTTACACTGTTTGTAAGGCACCTATCTTGTCTGCCTGTACACTCAATCATCTATGCAGTACTGGAAACAACAACAACAAACATCGCAAAATCTTGCAGATTAGGGCTCCTTCAGACTTAAACTTCCAAACACTCATGGCTGATAAGCAAATTCTTTACTCAGCCCTGGCTTGATTCCATCCCCAAGAGTAGCTACTGCAAACCTTTGATACTATTCAATACTCTTCATGCCCTTTCCCTAGAGCTTCCTAAACCTCCTGCTTTCTTCTTTGCAGAGAAAATAGGCCCATCGAGCCTGAACTCCATCCACTAACTCCCCCTCCACTGCCTACAAAATTTAGCTATATTCCTGTCTCTACTGAGTGGAAGTGACTTCCACTCATTATTAAAGCAGGACGTCTCTCTTTTTCTGTCCAGGATTGGCGCTCTGCCCCTGTTATGGTCCCATCTCTGGATTCAATTACTCCTCCTCTGTGGGCACTATTCTTTAGTGCGCAGATATCACACAACTTCACCCATCCTGAAAATGCACACATGCCTCAACTCTCCATCCCTTACACCCCCTTTTTTTTTTTTT